ATCTTTCAGCTATATTTAGTTCGTTTAGCTAAATTAAATTTAGTAGAGTATAATAGAAAACGCCCCCCCCCCCAGTTCTGTTAACATTTGGGGATACATCCTGTGACCTGTCACTCAATAGCTCTTGACCCAGAATGGTTGTGCAACATTGGACCAGGTGAGCTGTAAAGCTCAACCATTTTATGAATCTTCCCTTGGACAATTAATTTTTATGTAAACAGCTACTGTTTCAGGAAGCTTTTCTCCAACTTTCCCTAGCTATAAGTCAGTATTGAAGGTAGGCTTTTATAACCCCCTCCCCCCCGTATGTCAGGAATACGCTCCTGGAATCCCCAACTAAGTGTGACGATTGGAAATGCTATGAGATATAACCCCAGTATAGTTGGAAATCATCAGGAAAAAAAGTTTCATAGAAGAATCAGAAAGATATTTTTGCTGAGTAAGAAAGTTGGAAGGAAATAACTTCCTTGTTCAATAATTTCCTTGTATAATAAGCCATTGTGCATGAATATTGAACTTCTTATATAACAGAGCAGTTGGCTACTGTCATGAAAACAGGAGCACTGTATTGTATTGTGGATCCATCTCTGGTATTTAGTAGCCTGCTTTGTAGATCCTCATGAGCAAAGAGGTGCAGGGGAGGTGCTTCTAAATAATGTGGAAAAAAGCTAATCAAAATATATTTTCTTAGCCTTTATACATACATTCCACAACTTGATGCCTTCTGTCTGGCTTTTTGTTTATTGTAACCAGCATGCTACTCAACAGGGATTTACAGAGTTCTCTGGAGTTCAAAGTTTTTTTAAAAAAAATGCATTCAATTGTTTTTCAATTAATTTATATGCTTGCTGTCTGGAATCCTTTCTAGAAACTCTGTGCAAAATCAGAATTATAAAGGTGTGCACATTTGCACAAGGTTTTTAGTAAGGATTAAGATTAAGTAAGGAAGGATTAAGAACAAAGGGTACTTTAATGGGGAGGTTGAGTGATGAATGCCTTGTTTAAAGCAGTTACAGAGTTCAGGTGACGAAAGTTTGTCCTGGGAACCTTTTGGCTTGCAGTTCATTCTTATAAATGTTACATTTCTGCCTAGGTAGGACAAATGAGATGGATGTTTTACATTATATTATTTGTCCTTGGCTTTTATTCTGTCAATTGGTAAAACAACAGATATACTCAGCCCTTGGCTCCTTTTCATATTTTATAAAGACATAGTCATCATCTTTGTAAAAAATTGCGTGGGTGAAAGGTTTTGGTGTATCCATTCTTTCCATTTGTTCTAGGTGTCAATTGTGGACAGTGGTGTGCGTGGGACCATTGCAGTAGGACTGGTGCCTCAGTATTACAGTTTGGACCATCAGCCTGGATGGTTACCGCATTCAGTAGCCTATCATGCTGATGATGGCAAGTAAGTTAACAAGCTTGGCAGATCAGAATATAACACTCATCCAGTGTATGTTTTGTCTAGATAGGTGTAAGGAATAAGTCAGGCAGTACCTCAATTAAAGAAGCCAGAGTCAGTTAAATGTTGGCTTACAACTTTGATAACCACTGGCTAGATTGCCTAAACATGGATGAAAACTCTGAACCCCTATAAGATCCATGGTTTCAGAGTGCATACATGACACCTGTTTGCATTTAGCAGAGAATGGGGATGATATTTTAATATATTAGTAAAAGGTTTTTTAATTCATTCACTTTGTTGAGTAATTGTTAAATGCTGAATACTTATGAAGAACGTATCAAGGTCAGGTGTGTGTGTATATATATTCATTCATATATACGGTTTTATCATGTGTGAATGTGTGAGAAACTGAAATAGACGGTAGTATTCCAACTTGTGAAAAACAAGGTTAAATAGATTTGTGGATCTCTCAAACTAGAGGCATCTTCTCTAGGATTACAAAGCGGATCTAACTGCACTATTGTTATTGAACATCATATCACACTAGCATACTGTTGATTAGTTGTTCTCCAGCAATCATTTAAAGTTCTCTGTGAGATTTACAGAGATTTTACCTGAGATTTATCTTATCCAGACTTTACAATGGTCGAGCCAAGGGACGTCAGTTTGGGACAAAATGCAATTCTGGGGATCGGATAGGATGTGGGATTGAGCCAGTGTCCTTTGAAGTCCAGACAGCACAGATATTCTTCACCAAAAATGGGAAAAGGGTAAGTTCTGACTCAGCCTTCCATCCTTCCCAGGTGGGTAAAATGAGGACTCAAATTGTTGGGGACAATATGCTGATTCTGTAAACTGCTTACAGAGGGCTGTAAAGCACTGTGAAGCAGGACATACTGTAAGTCTAAGTCCTATTGCTATTGAGCTGAAGGTACCTACTGCAGCAGTGTTGGTAAACCGAAGGATGTGTGGGTTTGGTTTGGTGTTTTGATGGGACAGCTGCCTGGGAATTTCATGTGCCCTGTCTTATTCTCCAAGTGAAAAAGTTGGGAACATAAATGAACATAGAACATAAAGGAGACATGAACATGTTCCCACCTCCACCCCAAACTTTGAGTGACTTCCCCAAAGCAATCCACTTAAATTCATGACTAAGATTTTATTTGATCCAGGGGTCTTCTGCCTGTCCTTCTTGAAACTGTTCTACCCAAGTTAAAGAGAATGTGAATGTGTGAAAATTATGGATTGTACAAGTTAGGGCCAACAAAGAATGAGTCAGCTTGCATTTTTAAATAATTTCACACTCATTGGACAGTATACTTAGGTATAAGAAACTTGCCATACGGGGGAAAAAACAGTAGCTTTTTTTTTAATTGGGTGAAAGAATTCAAATTATGTTTCTCCCCCTCCACTTGCAATCCAGAATGGTACAACCCAAGGTCTCTGCCAGCTAATTCTGCCACTTCATTCTGTACAGTCTGTAGGCTTTTTGCTATGATTAGCCAGCTAGATTAAACTGATCTAATTTATGGAACTGTTGCCTCCTCTTAACAGGTGGGCTCAACAATAATGCCACTCTCGCCAGAAGGTCTCTTCCCAGCCGTAGGGATGCATTCACTGGGTGAAGAAGTCCGGCTCCATCTCCATGCAGAGTTGGGCAGTGAAGAGGAAGATGACAGCATTATGATGGTGGACAGTTATGAGGATGAATGGGGACGACTGCATGATGTGAAAGTCTGCGGCACAGTAAGTGAGCATCTTTGGGGAAGGAAGCAGAACACCAGAAACCAGGGGTGGGGGCTTTTCTGTGGTCCTTCAGTAGAGATCCACCGGAGTTACAATGATTTGTGTTTGTGAGCATGAGAGTATGCATCCTTCGATCCGTTACCATCTCTTTGATCTTTAGAAAAGGAAAATATTTTTGTTAACATCAAATAAGAGCAAAATCCTTAACCCTTACACCCATCAAATACCTTTCTACAATGGGCCAGCAAATGTATTCTTGGTGATGGGGGATTGTGTTCCTGGGTAAACAACGAAATATCAGAAGGAAGGTGTTGTGTTCTGAAGCTTACTTAAGATTAACTTAGAAGTCTATTCTGTGATTTGGCATCAAGTTTCTCTGCTCAAGACCTGCTTTGTATAAACAGTACTAAGTATTTTGCAGGCAGTGGAAGGTGTTGCATAATTAAAGGGGGAAACTCTATTCTTACTACAGAGGGAAGGGGATGTATTTTTTTTTCACCTCCAGAATGTATGTCACTCCCATATGCTTGCAGCTCCGAGCTGGCAGCTCTTCCCAAACTTAAGTCTATACTTTTTGTTTGTTCATTCATTCACTTCTTCCTATAGCTGCCCATTTCACCCAAATGACACTGAGAGGCCTGCAATTCTGTACAGTGTAGTAGAGAAAGGCATGGGGTGGGAAAACAGCACAGCCAGTCCCATTTTGGATTCCAGCAAGCATTTGCTGCAAGCCAAATTCCCTGTCAGAGGATGAAACCACAAAAACTGACTCCCAATCACTTTGTTTCTTTCTCTTCCATTATACACACACACACACACACACACACACACACACACACACACCTCCCTCTGAGCTGATCTGAGCAGCATGTCAGGTTTCTGTTCAGAGTGACTGGGACTTTGAATAGGGAAAAAAAACCTTATCTTAAGAGTGAAGAAATTGAAGCATGTTGTTGTAGCTTATTAGTCATAAGAGGATGAAATCACACAAATCTTGAGAGGGTAGTGGTGGTGATGAGGGGATTTTTATGCTCCAGGGAAAAAGGCATAACTTCAGGGAGTTGGCCATCTAGACTTTTGACTTTTGTTGGCTCTTGTCATGCCCAGACCAGCAAAAGAAAGATCAGCAGGACTTCTCATGCATGGTTTTGGAGCATTGTGGAATGCGTACAGAGAAACACCCAGAGCATGTTCCTGATTTTCACTATGCAGTTCTGCGAGGCTTGTGGTTGTCATTGTGTATTACATTCTCTGCAGCTCAGCGCTGTGGATGGACCAGCTTCCTTACGATACCAGAAAGAAGTTGCGTGGCTGCCAATACATTGGCTGCCATCCAAGATGACAATTTAGACTCATACTCTGAAGCGCAGCTTTGGCAAGCCAAAGAAAGGGCAGTTGTCTGCATTGTGAGAGTGGGATGTGTAGGTGCTAACGGAAGAGAAGTTCGAACGACAAATCTGGGCCCCTGTTTTCAGACTCGCACTGACAGCTTGCTGAAGTCCAAAAGAGAACGGATTGTGCCTGGGCCTGCACTTCTCTTCCCTGTCGCAGAGTTACATCCAGAAGCAGAGAGTGGGTTAGCAGCTGGGAGGTCACCCAGCATTCCTCCTGAGGCTCTTACTGTGTCCATGGGCTGCCAGCTGCTTCTCTCTGTCCTGCTGCTCTTGAGATTTTTCTCACTCCCATTTAAAAACATTTTGTCCTGTCTCTTGTGGTCTCAAATTGATGCTTGGCAGCTTGTGTAAAAATTCTGAAATCCCAGTGGGAAACTGAAGAAAATGGGCTTTTCCTTTCTTTGGAGACTGTGGGATAGACATGATGACATAATCCTACCCTCATCAGATCCAGCTAGCGACTCGGTGCTGCTTCTTTGGGCACATGTTGCAAAGGCTCGCTAGCGTGTTCTTCATTTGCGCCTCCTTGGGAGCCCTGCTCTCTCCGGACCTACATTTTATTCCTTTAGTCTTTCAGTGTACCTTGCTGCTGAATTCCTTCTAATACAAAACCAGAGCCTTTATGACCCTCATGGAGGCAGCATAATAGAGTTACACATGAATATCTATAAATGATTTATTTTAACTGCTTTACAAAGTGCTCTGGGTTTTACAAGTCTTAAGAAAAGGAAGGAAATGGCAAATGACTCGGGTCCTGAGCACTGGAAAAAATGACTAAGAGTTCCTATTCACGTCATCTGAGATTCCAGTTTGTATTACCCACAGATTCCAAGGACATGTTTGTAGCTATAACAATGTTCACGAGGCATTGGGAGTAAGAGAGAAGAAGCCATGTTAATCCTCACATCCGACAATATGTACTCTCTCTCTTTATCTTCTAATGGAATTGTAATTCGTGGTTGGGAGGGCTGGAGTTAACAGCATGGAGTTAAAGAAATAAGGATGCCCTCTCCTCGCTAAATGTTGTTAGATACTGTTGTGGGATTGCTAATCCTTTCTATCTACTGAGTTCTTTGAGGCTCTTATAGGTGTGTTTTCTGATACAGAAACTAGGATTCTTAGTTAATGGAAAAACTGGTGTCTGTCTTTTGTGGTGGTCATAAAGCTCGTTTCAAACACTAGAATGTGTGTAGTATGGCCACTATCACTCTTAAGCAATCTCTTTGCTTAAGAAAGCAACCAGTGATAGAAACTTGCTGATTTGGCATGTAAAATTCTCGTCTTGCAAAGTCCTAGCTCGAAGAAAACAATTCGAACTTGAGGGGATAGGTGGCAGGGCAGAAGAAATATTCAACACTAGAATACTGTTTTTATATGAACCTTTCTACAAGAGCCATAAGGGACTTGATATGTATCAGCAAATCTTTTAGTCATCTGCATTAAAAGTAGAAAGATCCCTTTAGTCTTTATTGTGACATTGTCAGGTCACAATACTCTTTCAGAAGAGTAAACAGGGTACATGAGCTGCCTGAAATACATTTTAATTTATTTTAAGATGAAGTCTTCTATAGAAGGAAACATTTGTAGGTTAGGGTCGAATTGTGGAGTTGTTGGGGTTCTTTGATCTTAGTTGTTCTCTTGCAAATGTTTCATTACCAATCTAGGTAACATCATCACTTCTAAAAGGAGTAGGGTTTTCTCTATTTTATATGCTAATGGTTTGCCCTATCAGTGTTGATGGGAGAGGTTTTAGTTCCTTGATTAAACTATTATTTACTGTTAGTTTGTTTGTCCAACTTTCTAGTTCCTTGATTGGCATATTGTTTTCTTCTTGAGTGTTGATATCTTCTCCCAAATTGTATTAAAACAAATATATTCATATTTAAATCTATGTTATTATGCAGTCATAGATCTGTTATTATATATTTCAAAATGGCATAAAAATTAAAAGTTATGAAATGCAATTCTCTAGAAAATTGCTAATTGCCGAATAATGGGAGACACACAAAAACCTTCTTCATCTGCGACCTGGAATTTTAAGATAAGCTGAGCGAAATTTAACGCAGAATCTATGAATTGGACAATGCAAAAAAGAAAAGAACCCCCAAACCTACCTTTATCATAGATGTGAACTCTATTTGCCTATGAAAGAAAATGAAATTATGAAAAAAAAATGAATACTATATATGAGCTGTCTTAGTTTGTGTGTATTTGCAAATTGGAAAATCTTCCATAATTTTGCATTCAAAACTTTGTCCAGTATTTCCTCTTAGTTATAAATGGAATAGCAAGACAACCTACAAATTGAAGATAATTTGCTATGTTGTGTAAACTTTAGGAGGACAATCCCTTTGGATATTTATACATTTGCAAGATTCTGTGCTTTTTGTGTGTGTTTATGTTCTTTCAGAAAATCTTTTTTTCTTAAATGTTTTGCTTTATTTTCAGAGTGGGCAAAGGGCAAAGAATTGATGCCCATGCTTTCCCGAGTTTATTCAAGTTATGCTATAAGGCTATGTCTGCCTTTCATTTTGCTTTTTTAAAAGAACAGTATTTCACACAAAGTATATAATTTTGAAAAGTAGTATAAAACTGTCTCAGTTTTAAGAGGAATTTCCAAAAAGCACATTGCTTTTTTATATCTACCCACTCACCCACCCAAATCAATGGTTTCATATAATCTGAACACTTTGGCCCCATATGTAAAGAATGAGTGAAGGGATTGGCCTATAGAAAATAAGTAATAAAATTATAATCCTTGCAAATGCTTATAATCCACTCCTCCTAAGTTTCCACTGAACAGTTTAAGGTATTTAATAGCAATGAATACCATAAATGAGCTGTTAAAATATCCTTTACAATTTTTAAAAAACTAATATACTGTGAGCACTAAAAGCTGCAGAGGATATAGGTACAGTAAATGTCAAAATATTTAAAGTATTCAGATTTAAGAATTATGTGTTTAAAGATTATGAAGAAAGACACTGTAATCGGTATAATGTAATACGTATGAATAACTGCAATATTATAAACAGACTCTAACATCATCTGGAATCGGATATCTGTTTAATAACCAATCTCCAGTTTATAGAAAGATGTTCAGTTCTTCACTAAGTTAAACAAAGTGATCCCGTAATAAAGTGTTGTAATGCAAAATGCTTGAATTTGGGTTGTCAGCCAGCTTCTTTTTCTAGATACTTTCTTTTTCATTGTCCTTCCTGGTTTGCTATATTTTCCATCCAGTCCTGACATCAGCATTCTATAACCATGTAACATACCGAAGTCCCACTAGGTTTTTGGGGGGAGGTATTGTAATTGTACTTTTGTAAAAAATTCTTCAAAAACAGTTGATATCTCTATATTCTGAATAAGTGTTGTTGATTTGGGCAAATAAGAAGATGAGAAAGAAAGAAAAGGAGAAGAATGAGTTCACTTTCAGCTAAATCAGACTTCTCCAACCTGCGACTTCCAACTCTATTAGGTTTCAATTCTCATAAACTCAACTATCATGGCTATAGATTGAGCTACCTGAAGAATTAAGAGATTTAGTGCAACACATTTGAAGGCTAACAGAAGTGATGGCATTCCAAGATGAAGTTGGTGTCC